ATTAAGTTTATCACCATTCTCTGGAAGCTTTGAAATCTTCTCAAACTCTTGAATTTTTGAAGGAATAGTTTTATCAATTTCTTTCCCACCACGGAGTATGGTGATAAACTTTACCTGCTCATTCACAGTATTAGAAGTGTCAATTTCATTCACAAAAAATTAACCCTGTGGATTTGGTTGTGGTTGTGCTGGGAACTTACTTTTTTTCTGATGGCAAGGGTCAATAGTCAACTTTGTGATTACACTCCTAATATCTTCAATAATCTGAGTAGTTTGTTTATTAAAATTTTCTTGCTTATTGTGTGTACTCTTGATATCATTTATGTCCTGTGTGGTTTGATTGATAAAATTTTTCTGACTCTACATCATTTGTGACAATGCCTCCTCAAAATTTTTTTTAGGGGGGTGGAACATATGGTGCAACATTGGAGGAATTTTGTTGACGTGGTTGTGATGCATGATTTTTATTCCTCCAACTAAAATTGGGATGATTCTTCCACCCCGGGTTGTATGTATTTGAATAAGGATTATTGTAAGGTTTTGAAAAAGTGTTTGCAGCATTTGCTTGATCATGCAAGACTTCTTTTAAAACAGGTAATGTTGGACATTCCTTCATAGGATGTCCAAGGATCTCACAAATACTACACACCTCCTCAACAGGCACTAGGCCCGCTTCATTAACCATTTTGTACTCTGTGGCTTCTACCCTCCTAGCTAAGGTGGTAATTCTAGCCCCTAGGTCATCTTCTTCTCTCAGCTGATATTTACCCCATTAGATGATGATGATTGTGCAATTTTACCTTTAGGAGGTTCTTGAGATGTGATATCCCAAGATTGTGCACTTTCAGCTAATTGATCTAAGTAGTCAAAGACCTCGTCTGGTTCCTTATTCATGAAATCACCATTGCACATCACCTAAACAAATTGACTCAACTGTGGGCTCAAACCCTCATAAAAGAAAATTATCACGCGCCAGTTCTCATAACCGTGATGTGGATAAAATGCAAGAAGGTCTTTAAATCTTTCCCAACTTTGATAGAAATTTTCAGACTCTTTTTGAGAAAAATTCATTATTTGCCTTTTTAAAGAGTTTGTGCAATGTGTGAGAAAAAACTTATTCAGAAATTATTATTGCATCTCAGGCCGTGTACCTATGGTCTTAGATATAAGTGAATATAACCAAGTCTTAGCTTTTTCCTTTAATGAAAAAGGAAACAACTTTAATCTGATTGTATTCACTAAGACATTCTGATCATGGAATGTAACGCATACATCCTCAAATTCTCTAATGTGTAAATACATATTTTTTGAATCTAGGCCAAGAAATTTTAGGAGTAATGTAATCATGCCAGGTTTGAAAACAAAATTTGTGTGGAAAGATAATGCATGAGGGTGCAGTATGGCGTGCAGGCTGTGGATATTCATGCAAAGTCCTACTCTGATTAGCATTTAAACTATCCACATCGTTCTCATCATGATTACTTACTCTATCAATATGGTCCTCATGTTCAAGAAGATCATCTTGTCTATTATTATTAGGATTAACAGTCATTGTATGAAGAGAATGATTTGAATCAGATGAACCAAATAGATTTTCAAACAAAGTATCTAAATCTTCTCTTATTAAACGACCACTCAAGTCACGATGCCAAAAACTCATAAACAAATAAAAAAAACTAAATAGATCAGAAATCTAAATTAACTAACTAAGGCCCCGTTTGGTAACGCTTTTCTTTTTCATTTTTCGTTTTTCATTTTTCATTTTTCATTTTTCATTTTTATTTTGATATTTAGAGAAAACAAGAAAAAAAAAATCGTTTGGTAACCGATTTTATTTTTCGTTTCTGCCAACATTTTGTAAACGAGGGTCGATTTTCAAAAACCAAAAAAAGATGTTTTTGGTTTTCGTTTAATGAAAAACGAAAAAAGAAAAAATTACCAAATGGGGCCTAAAGAAACAAATTGCAATAGAATGAATAAAATAATTAAAAAAAATAGAACGAAGTTACTGGATCTCTGAAAAATCGCAAATATCGAAAACCTCAAAGATGTGACGACTCCTTGTCCTCCAATTCCCCGGCAACGGTGTCAAAAACTTGCTTCAACTTTAATATTGTAAACTCAAGCGCAAGTTAAACGAAGTAATATATTTCTCACAGGTCAAACTCTCAAGGCATTGTAACAAGAAAACAATCACACAAATACTAAAACATACTTAAAAATAAATAATTTGTTTAGGGAATTGTTGAGTGGGAAAAAAATTGATTTAAATAATTAAAACAGTAATATGAAAAATACTAGAGCATTAGGTACATCCTCTCAATTCCATACAATAATGATTAAAGACTCAAATATTAACTTGAGACAAGAATCAGATGTCGGTTGAATCGAGTAACAAATCAAGTAAAAAAATCAAAAGTTATAATCAAAAGATTATTCAGGAACCTGAATAATTATCTAATTATATTATTTTATGAAATAATGATAATTACCTCAAGCGTGGAATCACCAGTTATTTACTCGTAAGAAAATTCAAACAATCGATGTACATGACATAATGACTCAAAGATTTTTACAGAGTAAAAATTTTGTTAATAGATTAGAAGTTAAATTAACAAAACATCATAAATCATTAAACTCAGAATCAATAACATTATCGTACTTCATTGAGAGGTTCCCCCTAACCCTAGCTTAGCCTTCTAGCCAGACATGACGAACTAAAATAAAAAAATAAAAAGATGAGAAAAAGAATAATAATAATCTCTAAATGAGAACCCCTATTTGTACTAAAAATAAATCATAAGTATAGGTAGAAGATATAAGGTTGTCTTTGAAGGAATTACTTTTCCAAAAAGAAGTCTTGTAAGGTTAAATCCCGTACATAAAATCTTTGGGGCGCGGGTACAAAATCTGTCCATACTTCAAGCTTTAATTTCACATATTTAGAGGTTGAATCACGAATATTTTTTGAAAAACACTTTTGTAGACCTTGAAGTCTTCTTTTCAACCCCCAAAAATCAAATAAATCGGATATCAGAGTCAAAAGTTATGACCAAAATACTGAAAACGTGTCAAATTTTTATCTTCTAGGATACTTTCCTAATCCAACTCTAAATGAGTTTTCTTTCAACTTGGACTCTTATAAGGATTAAATTGCTGTCATATCTTCAAGTCTTCCTATTTCAATTCTGACTCTTCAATCCTTATCAATTATGATTCTTCCTCTAGTGATTGATTCACTTGTCTTATCCATTATTACTTTAAATCAACCAATTTATCTGCAAAATAAACCAAACAATTAGAAAAAGTATCAAACTAAAAAATCAAGGAATTTAACACATTTAATCACAAATAATATACAATTAACCAATCATTAAATATAATAAAATAATAATTTTGATGGTTAATCGCACATGTTGTGAGCACTGTGAGCAAGTACATAGCTAATCTAGGTAGAGAGTATTGGAAGACAGTCAAGTGAATTTTTAGATACTTAAAAGGTAAACAAACCGAGGTATTGTGTTTGCAAAACAGGAGGGTTCTGTTTCAGTTGTAGCATATGTAGATGCCAATTATGATAAAGGTTCTTTTACGGCCGTGCTCTAATACCATGAAGTACTTCACTAACTTGAAATAGCACATAAGACTTTTCTTCTTGAGTTAAGTCCAAAAGAAACCCATTCCTCACTAACTTTTGGTGCCGACTTGCCAATTATGCTAGAGATTTGGATAATAGGAGGTCTACTACATGGAATGTGTTTACACTTGCATGAGGGCCTATTTGTTGGAGGTCCATGTTACAATCACTAGTGGCTTTATCCATAACTAAAGTAGAATATATGTCGGTGATTGAGATTACCAAGGAAGCATTGTGGGTGAAAAGGTTGGCATTTATTTTCAATCTGACCCACTTCTTATCTATTATTTGATCGACTAATCTTTTATATTGGAATGGGTGAAGAGTCACTTTTGGCAATTCCTCATTAGAGGATAAATCAAGAGAATTTTGAACTAGAACTATGAATTTTTGTTCTAAAGAGCTTGGTCTAAAACAAGGTAAAGTTCAGGTGCATTGTGATAGTCAAAGTGCTATTTATTTGGCAAAGTATTAAGTGTATCATGTCAGGACAAAGCATATTAATGTAAGGTTTCACAAGGTAAGAGAGTTAATTGTTACTGGGGAGATGATACTAGAAAAAGTGCATGCTTCGGAGAATGCATCTAATATGTTGACAAAATCAATTCCTTCAGACTGGTTTAAGCATTGTTTGGACTTAGTTAATGTTTCTCAATGTTGAAAACAGTAGTACCCTCAACCTATGGGTTTGCAAAAGAGACAAATTATGGTCCTTTTCTAGTGTGGTGAATTATTCACCAAGGTAGAAATTGTTGGGAATTGTGAGTGATTCATTTTGACTAAGACTTTGCTAACTTTAATACAAACATTGTCTATTTAATTTTGCTTTTAGATAGGAATGTATTCCCCGCCAAAAGTCAATGGGGTCAATTTCAACGGTGCCACTGTTTGGTTGTAAGAGTCAAATGATAGGCAAGGGGATGCAAAAAATACCCCGCGAGAGTGAATGACTCGTGACACGAAATATCCTAAGGCAATGAATGGGTACAAGTGAATTGTCAATGATTTCCGGTGTAAGTCTAGTAGAATAGTTTTATCAGAAATGGGTGAGCTAGGAAGTTTACCGAGAATTGATGCATAAGATTTACTAAGTTTCTTAGTTGAGCCCAAATTTAGGTTATTAATTGGTGCTATAAAATATGTTATAACCCTCGTGGATTCTAAAACAAAAATAAAGAAAAGACATTCTTGTGGATGGAGGTAGAATTTATACCGAACCACATAAATCTTGTATTCTTATTTTTCTTGATTTTCTTCTTCTTGATTATTCTCAATATTGCACGCTCACAATACCATGGCATAAATAGCTAACAGTAGCAATAAGGCGATGCAGTTCTGCACCTTGACAACAAAAATAGAAGTGGCAATATCTAAACAAAAAGCCTTTACTAAATACATCTTCTGGCAAAATAATGGCAGTATATTTACATAGAAATTAATTTATCAATGTCCTAGACTCCACCAACACGCACTGAACTATGTTTCTCTTCACCTCACTCAGAATTTCTTTACAAATTATGAACCTTGCCAATACTCCCACAAAGATTAAGCATATATATATCTTGCCTTCCCCCCACCTTTATTTCCTAATATTGCCTCTTCAAAGTGTAATTACAAGTTGCAAGCTGAGCATACCTAGAGAGAAACCGGCCAAGCAAAATTTATTCCAGCAGCCTCGTTAAAAACTGTTTATTTACAGCTATTAGGAGCGCCAAGACCAAAGAAAATAAAGCCAACATCTATGTTTTCTGTACAAACGGTGTCTTCTCTCGGTCAAAAATGGGCGAGGATGATAACCGAATATGCCTTTCTGCAAAAGAGAGTAAATTTCACGAGAAGTAAGTTAAAGGTAACAACATCAAGGGTTCAAAGAAGAGTTAATCTATGAAAATTTCCTCACCTCCAGTTGTGATGAGCTTTTCAACACGAGAAACAATATGTTTCCCATAAGTGTACCTCTTCAGTGTATTCAGGTGGACCTTGATACGGGAGAGAATTAGTTCGCGGCTCTGGTCATCACAGGTCTCAAGAACCTTCTGCACAACATAGTTACCAAAGGGGTCTTTCATCATGGCCTGCACGTTGCATTTCAACAATTTGTCATTCAACAAGCAGTAACAGTAGATGACAAACAGGAGGTCTAAGTGGTTATCAGGTCTCATGCTTGTCAAAACTCAAAAAAGTGAGTCAGCTTCAACCTTATATTAAAATGCAACAAGTGTAAATATTTGACAAATTTCCACGAGTTAGTGTGCAACTCTCATTGAGGACCTGAAGCCAGTACATTCCTTCAGAACACAGAACTAAAAAGTTGGAAAGTTACAGTGCTCGACTACCACTGAGGATTGATTTCACGAACCAGTGCCACTATGCTTTAGTCACACTTTAGGCAAGAAAGAAAAGATGCTAGCACATTCAGCACATGCAAAACAAATTCAAAAATTTCCTTTCGAGCTTCCACGCTACAAATTTGAGCTACTCTCAGATTTGCTGCACAATATATGACAACTTGCGAATTATGCCAGATTGCCGGTAGTAGATAAAGTTAAACTCATGGAACACCCGAGTTGTCTAATTCTCAAATTTTATTGCATGCTTAACCAATTAACCAAATCTACTCAAAACTATGAAATATATTATCCAGCTATACTGCAAAAAATCATGACCATCTCTTATAAAAAAAAAAATCATGACTATCAAGAACTACAAGATTGCAAATATCACAGTGTTTCTCCCTCAAGCATGTGGAAAACATCAACTACCTGTCTATTTCCCTACAATAAATGATGGAGGATCGCACACATAGATTCGACTCAGAGTAAGCAAGATTTATTAAAAAAAACTGCAAACTCCTGCTATTTGTCCCTCAAGTATATGTCAAAGTGAACATACATCCATAAACTGCCTATATAGTTCAACGGAATAACTATTTTCTTCTTGATAGGCAATATAAATATAATCCAGTCAAGTACATGTGCTGAACCCATGCATATATAAATAAAAAGATTACCATTGACATAACTCTGCCCAAAAGAGTTTTAATTATAGTAAGATGAAAAATTGAGCAAGAGAATTGGCCATAATTCTAGAACTATTGACTTTAGGAGTTGGATAGTCAAACAGCAGGCAAGAACTTCATCTTACCAAGATTTAGTTTAAATTTAGCTTCATAAACATGAATTTCAATAACTTAACATGGCTAGCTTAAACTAATTGCCCCTTGTATTTTGTGGGTCAGTATGACTACTCAGCGTGCAAATTTCTGACTTGTTCCAAAGGTTTATATGGCAGAACCATTCCTTTCTCAACTGCTAAAAATTTGGTAACTTCTCAAAGCTCCATTACACACACACACATATTGTACTCTAAAAACTTTAAGACAACAAAAAGGCAGTGTGGGAGGCTATATCCTAATTGTGTTCAGCAGTTCAACAGATTGTAAGAGAAAGAAACAGAAAAAATCACCAAATGCATTTGCTAATATTCTGAAAGTTCAAAACTTCCTTACATTTCAATTTTATATGTTTAAAGAGAGAGGAGAGGCAAAGTTCACCCAAATCCAAATATTTTTGTGGGAACGCCTCGATGGCATACCTTTCAACAAACTTGATGTTTTATTAAATTAACAGTACCAGTACCATAGACAAGAGGGTCGAGAGAGAGAGAGGTGAAACTGTTGATCAATTATAGTCGAGAGACAGACAACATTCAAAAGATAATTGCCATAGAAGAAATCAAAATCATGCATTAAACTTTAGTCTGATCACTTTTTATAAGGGCTTAAGGGAATCTGCTGCACAGTGGGTAAAGAAACCTTCTAGAGGTAGGCCATGCCAAAGAAAGGTGCTCTACTACTTTCTGATGTTGCCAAATAGACTAAACTATCCATAGTATAAGTTTCCGTGCTTTGCCCTAATAATCGAGAGAGAGAGAGAGAGAGAGAGAGAGATGATTAGCAATTATAAAAGCACTGATCAATCTACCATGCTAACTTCAAAATAATATCATAATCCACCATTTGCCTCAATTAATTTGCAGTTTCTGGCATTTTAACCTAATCAAGTCCTTTGGATAGTGGATAAAACAAGTCAGATAGGATTGCGATGTCAAGTTCAAAACCCAATGCTGTGCAGAGTGCAAATTAAAAGCTAGTTGTAAACTTCTACAATTTTAAACGAGAAAACAAAAAAAGTGCCAAAACAGCTTCCACACCATTTTCTGGCATGCCCACTGTTTACTAACCATGATGTTAGGAATTGGACATGGCACCAATGCTGGGCTTACAATAGAAACATTTGCCAGGGGTGGTGCAAATGTGAAAAATCTACCAATCCCCCTGAATTGGTGAACAGCTATACGACTGTAGAAGACTCTTCATTTGCATTTACCCTCTACTCTTATCAGGTGGCAGCACCTCATTTTCTGTCAGACCAAAATTGGCAACCCGACTAAGGTAGTGAATCCTATCCAGAAGAGCATGCAAACTCACAAGCCCAACAAAGAAAAAGAAAAAAAAAACTTGATCTCAGTGTCCACCTGACTGTCAACACTTCTTAGTTGCAATGTCGATGACCTGAAAAATAGGTTTAGGTACTGGGCAGAAATGAGATTAGACTAGCCAGCAAAAAGACCACCCGAAGGCCATGCAGACAGAAACGCTTTAGATAGATGGTCGTCTGTTAGACCCAGTATTGCTTTGCACGTACAGTAGAATGCAAATAACTTCGTTTTCTCTCTCAATATTTAGTAACCTCCTTTGAGGGGATAGAGTATTACGATCTCACACATCCAACACCAATATAATAAATTAGTAGGAGGGCGAGAGATTCACATACCTGTAAGGGTTCATTTTCATCCGTGGAACCAAGCATCTCATTCACTAGAAGCTGACATTCTTCTGGACCACCAAAAGTTAAGCACTTTTCAACAACATTAGAAGCAAACTTCTGCTGACTCATCTTTACTATTTGTCCTGCAAGCTTGCTAATGATAGCAGATCGCTCGTGTGGTTTACCATGTTGTAGGACATGCTAACCCAAGAAAAAATTACCAACATCAGTGCAGCACACAACTATATATGTAATCAGAATGATAGAGATATATCTATTAAACAAAACAAAACAAAAACAGAGTCTGCAAGAATGTAATGGACATATGCAAAATTGGGAAGTTTAAACATATATTCCGTCAAAGTATTTTACTAATGGTAAATACCCATTAAGTCAGCTTCATTCAGCCTTGGAGATATATTAGAGGATAAGACGTGCAACTCAAATTAAGAGTTAAATTAGTTGGGTATGGCAACACAATCCTTTTTTAATCCTTAGATCTAGAGCCACATCCCCACCTAGAATCACAGGCCTTAAATCCTTTTTCATTCCCCCAGCAGCTAGGGTTCTGGAGGCCATTCTCTTGTCCTTTTAGCACCATCCATTTAAAATCACACCAACCTAATCATGCATGTATTGATTCTGGTGAACACGACCAAGTCTGCTTGAATAGGTTTTCCCATCTCATATTCAAGTGGAGCCGTGATACGAACTCTAGTGGTTCATGAACACTTTCATTTCCTATTTTTTTATTTCTTCTTTCGCATTTCAAAGCCAAATTGAAGGGTAAAATGAGATCAAAAGCATCACTTATAGGTGAAATACAGGTGAAAGGAGAACAACTAATAACTAACATGCTCCCTAGGCAAATTACGCAAAATGGAAATAGCATAAAGAGGCAACAGAACAATTGATATAATGCGCTCACTAATCAGCCAATAATATGTATTCGATGATGTATGGGGTGATAAATCTCCTTCAGTTTTCAAGGACACATCATTATTTATCAATTTCCATTTAAAAAGAAATCAAATGGTGGAATCACTACAGTATGGACCACTCCATATCAAATATCAAGTTCCATCATTTTGGAAAAGCAAATCTATATTATTTATTGAGAAAACAAATTCTTTGCTCTCCAATATCGTCTCCTACATGCAAAATGATCAGAGGGTATCCAAAAGTTTTTGGCATGAGCACTCTTTAATAAGTGGCATTTTGTAATTAGAGTGTTAAAGTTTGAAATATATTATCGATTGAGAAAACAGATTCTTAGCTCTCCAATTTTGCCTCCTACATTCAAAATGGTCAAAAGGTATCCGAAAGTTTTCTGCATAAGCACTCTTAAATTTAAGTGCTAATTTGTGATTAGAATGTCAAAGTTTCAAATATAAAGCTGCAACCTCACTCTCCATGTTTCTTCTACATTAAGGGCACACATTCAAACACAACATGTGTAAGACTTCAAGTCAACAAATAAAGGTGAATCCCATCATCAACAGGGAAAGTTTACAAAGTCTATGAGGTCAGAACCAGTAAACATCATCTCCCTCCTCACTGCCCTGCCATGATTCATATGATAGACGTGCATGTTTAATCAGATGCAAACAATGAGTACCTGAATGACATAATTCCCATATTGATCTTGTGCAAGAGCACACACAGAGTTCATAATTTCATCCATGATAATTTGTTGTGTAGTTGGATCATCACAATGCTCCAAAACCCTCTGCGACATCAAACGATGTTACACAATTGATAAGACATACTACTCAACAAAAACATGAGACAAAAAAATAAATTTTGACCTGAATGACCCGGCAACCATATGGATGGGTGGAAAGAGCCACAACTTTCCCAAAGAAGGCTGATACTATGAATTGGTTTTGATCTTGAGGAACACACTCTATACACTTCTGGATAACATGGTTACCATTCTGATCGTGAACACATTTCATGATTGAGCCATCAAGCTCTGCTACCATTTGTGTCTGCTGATCCACATCAACTACCTCCAAGGCCTGTGATCAATTAAAGTATAAACAATATTAATTCAAAAGAGTCCCTAATTGAAATATAATCATCGTGTCATCCCATTTGTCATCATCTCCTTGGAGAGCACTAGAAGTTAGGTATCCTTGTCCTCTAGATGTTCCCATCACCACTACGCATTGTCACTCTTTCCATGCCTCTTTTGGGGTGGGGTGGGGTTTTTTTTTGGGGGGGAGGGGGGGGGGGGTTGTTAAAGAAATAGCAGAAAGAGTTTCATGAAGCATAAGAAAGGTCTTAGAACACAAGTGCACAATTTCATAGAGTGGAGTTGAAAGGTGTGGTTAATATTTTTATGGGACAATTACACAAGCCACCCCTTAGCTTTGCCTTATCAGTCCACCTCTTGAGGTTTAAAAAATTGAAATAAGCCTTAATTGGTCAACAACAATCATAAAAAAAGTTCATGAAAAAATGAAATGACCACGTTACCCCTTGGCCATACCCAACTGCCAAAACTTGAACACTAGTTTGAACCTGAAGATAAAACAATACCATCTTGCTAGAGCCCACCATTTACCAATCCATAAACACTCCCTAGCCCCTCTTCTGCCAAACAACACATAATCGATCCCCCAACCCCTACCCTCACCCATACCACAAAACCCCACCCGGAACATTCCTACCCATTCTTCAAACCACAACCCGTTCTCCCCCCCCCCCCCCCCAAAAAAAAAAAACCCCTAAACTGCCACCGTGTCTTAGTATATTATAAAATACATATAGCCATTATATTTTTATTTATTTCGTAATTTCTATTATGTTTTCAAGAACATAGGAGCAATCTTGTTAGTATCGTATGTATGAAGAAAACGATATTGGTATGCATCTTATCATGGGATACACGATACGATACGCCTGATATACTAGACGATACAAAACAAATCAAAAAAATTTCCTTTAAATTTTAACCAGAAAATGACGTCTTTTCACTTGGAAATAATTTTTTTAAACACTAAGTAATAAAATGATGTCGTTTCATCATCTATAGTTTTTAAGAAATAATAGTCTTCTTTTTTATTCATTCCATTGGTGGAGCAAATAATTTGATCGTTCAAAGTGTTCTCCTTTGGCTACTACTTTAGCAGTTAGAACTAGAACTCTCTAAATTTTGATATTGACGAATTATGTTAGAAACTTCAATACTTAGATTGCTAATTTTTTTATTTTGGTCATTCTAGTCTCTTTAAATTGTTTTTATGTGAGAAATTTGTGGTCCAATGAAATGTTATTATGACATTTTGTCATAGGTATATGTGTTTTTTAATATCTTTTATAAAATAGTACGTATCTTATGATACACGATACTATATTTTTCAAAAATGATACGACTTCCGATACAAGTTTTGACAAACTTGCACGGGAGAAAATGATTTACAAAAATGGACATCAATAGAAATTGATCAATTGACTAATGTCAAGTCAAATATTGGGGTTCACTAAAACTTTGACCAAACATAAAATAATTTCTAAAACCTCAAGAAGCCAAGTGTATTAATATAGTGTCATATAGTTATACTATTGCCAAGCAATTGAGCAGCGGGAAAAAAATGTGGCAACTATCAATACCTATGGGGACAGTGGCAACGGAATATAGAGAAACAATACTGGTTGCCTATAATTAATAGATGTTTTAGGTCAAGAAACTTCTTCATGGAAAGGTACATGGTATACCTGTTACGCTCCTCGAAGATTAGATTAGTTTGTCAAGCGACACAACATGCAACTACTGTTTAATTACGGAGGTAGATTTAGGGACTTTGTTTTAACATTAGCAAAAATGTCACTCAAAAGCCACCTAGCTTAGCATTGTAGGGCAGACCAAGGATTTTTCCAATATTCTGTCCTCTCATTACCAGATGTAGGGCAACAAATTTAAGAATTCAAGCATCAATGCAACACAGCAACAGGACCCAGAAGAAGGAACGACCTAAACCGTCTAGTTTTCCAAGCACCATCCATCTAACAAAATCATGAATCTCTAAACCAAATATTACCCCAAGGCCTTCTAGAATAGCCAATCCCATTCCTAATAGTGGAAAAAAGAGACGGTACAAATTAAAGATGATCACCACAACCACCTTTTGATACCAAGGGGGACTCAAGACTACAAGGACAACCAATAGGTATCGGTTGATGTACATCTAGGATGTTGCACAAAAAACTCATGCTGTCATGAGGACGTTACCAAGTGTATGGGGCTGCAATATATATATATATATATCCCCTCCCATTTAGGGGCAGATTCTGTCAGTGAAAAGTGCATTGCGAATTAGTGGACTAGTATTCTACGGATTTCAGATATTGGGACCAAACTTTTAAATCTTTCATACAGAAAGTTGAATTTTTGGATGTCCCCGTGTAGTAAAAGGAGAAGAATGAGATTATAAGGAGGAAGAGAAGAAGAATGATTTGGAGAAACTGACTGCAAAAGTAACAAGGGTAACCACCTTGATTGTTGTGTATCCTCATTTGATTAGCGAATAGAGTGAAGACCACAAATAATTGACGTTAGTTCATACATCATTTTGTTGTCCACCAGTTCAAAATAGAAGAATGCATATATATGATAAGCTCCTAAGAACAGAAAGTAACATCTAGTATTGAAGCAGAAACAAAACTTAAATCAAAAAATAAAGCTTAATAATGCACCTTCTGAATTACTCGGCAACCATACATTTGAAGACTGAGAGGCAAAACATGACCAATAAGTTGGCTGGCCAGCTCCTTTCTTTGACTTTCTGTGCCATGCTCAAAAAACTGCATATTCAAGCATAATTACTTAAGTAGTACATTCAAAAAAAATTAATAGCACATTTTTTGTAGAGTTAATGAGGCTTATACTTTCTGTATAACATAATTCCCAAAAACGTCGGTCATCAAACTAAGAGCATGAGGAATGATTTCTGGGAATATCATCATCTTTTCTTCCTCTGTGGCAGTTTCCAGTTTCTGTTGAATAAAGCGACTCCCATACTGATCCGTACTACATTTGAGAATAGGAAACACAACTTAGAATGCAATTGGGGTTGCATACATGGATTAAACAATAAAACAGCATTATGTGCATACCTAAATTCCACCACATGATCAACAATGTCAGAAAGTTCTAAAGACATAGTTTTATTGTTCTTCAGCTCTTCTAATAATGACGATGCAAATCTTCCTTCCATGTTAATTCCAGTTTCTGAATGCCACGGTCCGGAAGATCCTCCCATTGAACTTCCCAACGTGGAAGTAAAATGAGAGACTCGCTCATTGGGATATGGCACTGAGTTCCCCTGATATGGCATACCAACATCAAAGCCTGGATTCCTATGATACCCATGATCTAATCTGCCAGATTTACCATACTGTAATTTCTGTCGAGCAAGCATTGCCTCAAGGTATGCTCTCTGGAAACCCTGTAAATCTCCCTGACCATAGGCAGGATGTGTTGCATAATTAGACATTTTCTGGGAATAGCGGATATATCGAGGATCCATAACTGATGAATAAAGATCAGACCCTGCCTGGTTACTTCTCGAACTTTGCTCATTTCCAGCACTTGTCAAAGCTGAACCTGGAAAAATATAAACATTAGAATACAAAACGGTTGTTCAATGATTGAGAAAAATACTGCAAAAGTCAGCAAAAGGAACAATAAGCCGTACCAAGATGATTATTAATGGCTGTGTTAAGATTCTGACTAGCAGAATATCTCGTAGGCGCATGGCCAGATAGGTCCACACCTGGAAAATTATCGGCTTGATAATGAACATTAGAACCATCTAAACTTGCAAATCCAGAAGAACTCATTTTTGAGCGAAGGTCAGCCGAAGAAGATGTTCTTCTAGGGAAGTGAACATTCCTATCAAAACCAAACTTAGAAACATGTGAATCTGTGACAACCCCATTCTCCCTTGATAAATCAGTATAGTTGAGAGCAATAGCCAAATTTTCAGCTCTGGACCTGTCAAGGAATTGCTGTGGCAGGCTCTCCCTATGACCATTTGACAGAGCAACTAAATGATTAGATTGCTTGTCAAGTCCCATTTGAAGGTGAGACTGCATAAGACCATCTTCATCATAGAGATGATTTTTTGAAAGGCTTAAGCCAGATAAAGAAGCTGCAACATCAGCCAGCTCGGTCATGCTAGAAGAAAGACCCCTTATAGCATTAGAGCCAACAAAATCGTTCTTCTCGACAGGGAAAACTCTGCTACCTACAGGTGGAAGACTAGGACTGGTGGACCTCCCAACCAGTTGAGGCTCAGGGGTTCTACTTCTTGACAGAGATGAACCCACAGAAGGTGCAAACAAATGAGAACCAGATGAACTAAGGTGTTCAACTCTAGACAAACCAGGGACAGCTACCCTCGGATGCAAGACCTCAGTGGATTCAGCTCCATAGCAAATATCTGCAGCATGTGAATTAGAAATGCCTGATGTATCCACAATATCACCAAATGAGTTACGCCTTGCAGGATGTGAGAGAAAATCTGATAGGGAAGCAGGTTGGTTAAGCCCTTCCTGCAAAACATGCACATATCAATCAGCAACGTGTCAACATGTCCATAGGAGCTCAGAGTTGCATCTAGTATGGGGATATGCACGTTCAAACAAATCACTGTCCTTATAGGTGTGCAATATTGCATCTATAAAGTGGCATAGAGGATAGAAGCCATGCCATTGAAACATAGCAAGAGAACAAAGTCGTGTGCACTTTCAAACTAAGATCCTGCCAAAGCCAAGTAGACCGAAGCATGGCCAGCTTTCTATTTGTTTAATATTCTTCTCTCCATTTATAAGGGGTAAGTGGAGTTTTCAAGAAAACGTAGAATGTTCAACACAGCACTCCACTTGTTTTAGAGCAATTATTCAAGAGAAGACAACAGTTAGATGATATCTTCATGTCCAAATATATACTATATTTACACCACTTGACCTGCTTATTGATCATTGAAAACAATATTGAAATCATACCCATGTGTAATGTCTTACAAGGGTACTACATACACAGCCCACCTACTGATCTACATAGTAATAACAAAAACCATATCAACACCCAGGCATTGTCTTAAGGATAAAATTAAACAAAGTAAAATAGAACTAAATAAAAACTTGAAAAAGGAAAATTTTAAATCACCAAGATCATTCACTTTGACTGTAATCATAGTAATAACAATAAGCAATTAGGTGCCGAGGTATTTTGGCAAGGATAAGAGAGCTCCAGATCTGGAATACTTTTCATAGGCACATGAGATAATGCAGAAGCAATCTATACAATGAAATTTTAAATTATGCCCGAAATACATAATTCTGTTTAGGGGGTAGACTGCTACCTGAAGAATATCTGCAAAACTTTTCTTCCTCGCACCCATTCCAGCAGCTGATGTCCCAATAAAACCATCAGAGCCTCTGTCCAGCAATTCAGCAGAGTTTTTCACTGAGAGATTCCTCATAGTAGCTTTCCTCAACTCCCTCAACTCATCTTCAGCTTTCTGAACAGACAATCCAGGCTGCATTGAGAACAACGAAGAACTGCCACCATCATCAACCGAATTATTTTGCCTCCAGTCTCCGATACCACCAAACGAAGCCCCTCCTGTTTGAAACCTTTGGGCAACTCGCCAATTCTCTTTTGACAACATTGGTGGGGGTAATCTCGGATTTATATTATCATGTGAATAATAATATGATAAATACGCAGGGTGTGACCGAATTTCTTCCTCTGTCAAAATTCCATTGGCAATACTAGTACTATTAATTTGTGCAAAATTTGAGTTCCCAAACAGACTTCCCACGGCACTCAACGACCCCTCCACAGTTGGCGGAGCACTGCCACTCCGATATATGTTCAAATCCCTCTCCCTCTCATTAATAACACTCCGATTACGCTGCTCCTGCAGCAATGTTTGAAGCTCACTCTCTAAACTGTTCTCTAAACTGCCGTTTGAATACGATCCTCTCATCATATCCCCATCTAGGTTTGTTCGTAAATTCACATTGGACTGCATATCTTCGTTATTCCCAGTAACTATCTCAAAAAAAAACCTAATTCACCATAAACCAAAAACAACAATAAACAAATCAAACCATAGAAATCAATAAACTATAGTATTTATCACAAATATACAAAAAAAAAAAGTTCCAACAAGTAGATTCAAGTAATTTCAATTAAATTACACACATCCTGCATATTCATGCATCAAGACCAATAGTGGGTTAGGCTCAAACTCGATCAAGAAACATAAAATTAATTACTCAGACTAATTAAATAACAACAAACAAGTAAATTCCAATATTTAACTACACAAAATTTCAGAGATATATTAAATTCATGTTTATTAAAGACGTAAGCAATAATTGCTGAGAATTAGTAGAGTTTGGTGTGGTAAAACTTACAGTTCGTGAATCGAAAATCGAATATCTTCAAATTCACGTGTACATTATCTGTGCAATGAAACGGCCAGAGATGGTGTGAGAAGAGGGCTTCGATACGAAAATATAGCAACAAACTCGGAACAATTCGATGCAGCGTTGAAGAGAAAAAAGATTACAGAGCCGAAAAAGGTGGAGATTTTTAGAAACGGCCTCGTTTATACGCGACGAGGAGAGAGACAGACGACTACACCGCTGTAGGTAGGGGAGGTTAAATATTGAACGATTGATTGGAGATTGACGGTGGGTGATTGGTGAAAGGGTTTACGTGCATGTGGCGTAAAGGCAAAGTCGTAGACTACGTATATATAAGCACGTGTATATATTTGTGTTTGGCAACTGTTTTATGCATGTGGGTAAGGGAGAATGGAAAATAGTGTCTTCGGTTTTAGAAAGAAAATCTTTGTGCCATCTACTGCAATAAATTTCATAGAACTGCGTATATATAAGCAAGTATCAAAGTTTTTTTTTTTTTTTGGGTATAATACCACAAATACAATTGTTATGGATTATTTTATAATTCTTTAAGGTGTTTGGGTTTGATTTTTAATATTTAGATTGATTCTTCAACTTCTCTAAAATATTAGGAAAAATTTCATCTACATTTTCTTTAATTAGGTCTAAATTTAATGACACTTTCTCTCAATTTTATAACTTCATGAACCCCTTTCTAGTTTATACTGTTAAATTATGGACACCCTTTAACAGCAAATTTCGTCTCTGGCAATAAATAAAGTGCACAATTTGACTACTTATTTTTTAAAAATACAAAAATTACCTTATGTTATGTTAATAGATTAAAGTGTCTTGGGTCGGCATTTTATAAAGTTTAGTTTTTTATTTATTTTTGATAAGTAGGATAATATATTTATATCTAATGAAATTATTTTTTATACAAAATAAAATCATTGAACATAATAAGGTAAAAAATGCATACAAATAAAATAAAATAAAAATTTTAATTTTAATATTTTACCAAAAAATAAAGGTTAATTATAGTTATTTTTAATTGATCTCAATGAATTTTTATTATTTTAAAACATTGTATGAAATTTTTTGATATTATATATATATATATAATTTTAATAGTTAAAAATACTTCTCTACAATAAAAATTATAATTAATAAGGTCAATGTCAAAGTGCCACCCACTTTCAACTCCTCTCGTTTGTCCTTTGCAACATCACATAACCACTCTTAATGCATCACCCTTCATGTATCAAATTTAATATATTTCAATAAATCTTAATGCTACTTTGATGAAATTGATGGTTAATTTGATATTAAATTAAAAAAATGATATTAATTTGATGAGGTTAAATGTAAATTAATGAAATTTAGTATTCTATTTAATATGATTAAATTTTAATTTGATAAAATTAAATGTCAATTTGGTGTAGATTTGATAAAATTAAATAATAATTTAGAATTAAATTAAAGAAATAATATTAATTTGATTAGATTAAATATCATTTTTATGTTGATTTGATGAGATCGAATGTTAATTTAGTTTAAATTAAAGAAAGGACATTAATTTGAAAAAATTAAATTAAATTGATGAATTTGAAGGTTAATATAATAGAATTAAAAGCGAGTGAAGTAAAAAATTTAAGAATTAGAAGGGGTGTTGTTGAAGTTAAGCCTATTTACAGAAGGACGTGGATGAAATTTACCATATAAAATACTAAGGGTGTTTTTGTAAAACAATGGGGGTATCAGTGAAATTTTAGATTTAAAAGAGAATATTATTGAATTTAGACCTAACTAACTATAAGAAATGTGAATAAAATTTTCTCAAAATATTATAATAGGAGTTCAAACAAGTACAACTAGACCTCAAAAATCATGTTCTGCAAGATTGCTCTTAATTATTTTTATTGTAATTTGAGTCTAAAAAATTATGATTTAAACTGCAAAAGTGATAAACTTCGGGATCGAAATCAAATTCTAATCCAATGATTATGACCTCACTATCAATTGAGAGATCTAGGGCTGTTTGAATATGTTATCAGAAAAATAGTATTTAAAAACATATTTTCGATAAGAGTTTTAAAATATTATTTTTTAATTTTTTGTATCCCTAAACATGTTTAGTTATTTGATTCTAAAAACTATTTTAAAAGACAAAAAGAGTAAAACATGTTTGGATAATGATAAAAAAAAATAAAAATTATGGAATATAATTTGAATTGACGCTTCGATAAAAATATTTTGAAAGAGAGAACAAGGGTAAGGGTGAGAAAGGGGGTGGGGGTGTATTATCAGTTTTCTTTCTCGGCCGCTATTATACATGTGGACGAACAATATTTACTCACAGAATTCTCAACATAGTTTTACTTTATGATAGAAATTAAATGACAAAATTTTCCAAAAAAAAAAAAGAAAAAACACCCCAAGGATAAAGGAAGAGTGTTGAATACTCGTGCACAAATCTCAACCGACAAAAAATTAACTTCAAATATTGAACATGCATCAAAGAGGTCATCATTTCCCTCACTGGAAAAATGGCAAAACAAAGTCAAGAACATATGTCCCAAATTTCTGGTTTTCATAGTGCCGAATCTAAGAAGCAAGTTAACTTCAAGAAAATATACAAAATCAATATGCGAGAAAATATAAAATACATGGAAATAACAATATTCAGTAGTTTGTTAGAAGTCGATCGGACCACTTTTTGCCGACTTGTGCCACTTAAAGGGGTCGGAACTTCGAACGATACTAAAGGTTTGAAGGAATCGATCAGACATACTTTAAAGCAGAGTAAAAGACAACTGAGAAAAAAATGTTTCTTTTTAATTGATGCCTTTAAGTGCATAGTAAATTGTATCCCGTATTTTCAATCTGTTTTTGAAATTATGTCTCAAGAAATTATGTCTTTTGCCTCTTAGTTTTTGAAAAATTGGATACAAAAGGTATGTTGTCCACAGTGGCAGATCTATAGTGGGGGCAGCCGCCCCACTGTAATTTTAAAAATTTTTGCGGACTAAGTATAATTTTAAAAATTTTAAAATTTATCAAAGATTTGCCCCCATTGAATTTTTTTTAAAAGATTTATAGATATTTATGATATTTTGACAAATATATGGTCACTTATAAATGTCAAAAAAAATCCTTTAAAATGCTAAATGCCTCTATTATGTGTTATATTAAATTATTTAATTTGGTGTTTTGAATAGTTTTATTGTGATTGATTAAGTAATTCTTATACTAAAGTTTAGTTTAATAGAATAGTCATAGTTTATATTTGTTTCGATTGGTTGTTAAAATTTAATTATATATATTGAATCAAATTTTTTTGTTCAAAATTTTTTGTTAGGTAATTAGATCTTATAGATAAATTTATAGTGAATTTCTTTTTGTTAGCTCTTTTTGTATAGCGCTCATGTATATGAATTGTTACTTTAATTAACATTCTATTAATGAAATTATACTTTTGTGAACATTAGTAATTTGAAAAAATTTCAACCACACCCCTTCTAGTTTATCATATCTTCAAAGACACCATCTTTATTTTCTAAATTTTCAGTGACGCCCCCTGTCATATTAAAAATATTAACTAGAATACAATTTTACTAAATTACCCATGATATATTTGAAGACAAACTTTATCCACACTCCCTCTAGATAAACATATCTTTAATAAGACCCCCTCTGTTTTCTAATATTTTTTACTTATTAAAATTTAAGCCGATTAAAATTCGATTCAAACTAATTAAAATTTATTTTTTTACATATTGAAATTTGAGCCAATTATAAATTACATTTTTTTACATATTAAAATTTGGGCTAATTAAAATTTTATTTGAACCAATTAAAAATTATTTTCAATCGACTCAAATCAAATTACTTGAGGTTTATGTAGGGGCATTTTTGGTATTTTAGATGAATTATTTTTGTTAGAAATATTAGTTTAATGGTAAAGGGTGTTAGTGATGTTTAAATTAAACTAAAAGGGGTGTCAGTGATGTTTTTGATAATAGATGGGATATCCTTAAAAATATAGTAAACTAGGAGGGGTGTGGCTGAAATTTTTCCTAATAATTTTAATATTCATATGATTTAGGTTGCTCCCACTAGGCAAAATTTCTGGCTCCGCCCCTAGTTGTCCAAACAACTTTTCCTCTATTTTTGATCCAAAAATAAGAAAATGCAAACCAAAGAGCTCCTTAAAATTCCATGGTCATATCTCCCTTACCTTTTCTTGTTTCTCTACACACACGTGGACGATAATTTTTGACACAATATACAATATAACTCGAACTCAATATGATATAACTCAAAATTAACACAAATTGTTAACATGAATAATATATGAGTTGAATTAATATCAAGTATGAAAAAATAAATTTTGCGCAATAATCCTATATAAACTGATATTGTATGATGAAAATATCTATATATTTTTTTTCTCAATCTATTTTTATACGAATTCTCATAGTATTGAATGATTTTTTTATTTAATTATAACAGAATGTGAATCAAGTACATTCTTACTTTATAGGGGACCTTTGCGTAGTGGATTTGGTTTAGAAAAAACGTTGATTCTAGTCTTGAAGTTTTGGTTTTATGGGTTATT